GTTGAAATCACCGACGATGACCTTGAAGAAGGTATGATCTTCCTTGTAGAACCCTCTCAATTCCATATAGAACGCTTCGAGCTCATCCTCGTCGTAGCTTGATGTTGGTGCGTAGGCTTGACGAAATTGTCTCAAAGCTGAGTTGGAACCCACATCTTCTCAATCGCAAACGTCCGATTCGGGTCGTCAGACTTTCGTACGAATCGATGTTCATGGCCAAGTGCGTGTTGACGAGGACGCCCACACCGCCAACCGCCTCTTGGCTGTTCGCCATGTTCCGCAAGGAACCCCAGTTCTTCTCCAGTCCTCGTACACGGCGGTCTTTGGGTGTGTAGCGGGCGATGCCTCCTCGTCTCGGTCAGTCCGATGACGTCGTACTTGATCTTCCTGGCTTGCAACATCAGATCTTCGATGTGAGCTTCCGATGCAAGCGTCCGTGCGTTGAAAGTACAGATCGTCATCCTAGTCCTGGGCGACTCAAATCTCCGTTGGCCCTGTGATTTTTGCAGCCTCGTCCGAGCGGTCCCAGCCGACGTCGCCCTGTCGGTGTCGCCCTCAGGTTTCAGCGGAATGAGGCCATAAAAACCTGGATACCCTGTTTCGCGCGATAAGGAAGAGTTTAACCACGCGTAGCTCGCCAGGCTCTGACGTGGCACCCTTCCGCATTCATTACGTTTTTGGAACAGTCCAAAACCGTTCACCCCTACGCCACGATGAGGCTGCGGATAGGATTTGTAGGGGGCCAACTGCCTTTAAGCGGAGAAAATGGCACGTTCTTGCAGCCACAAATCATTCATTTCGCACATGGCAAAGATTCATCTATCAGATGAAGGCACGTCTCGAAGGCATGACGCGCCACCTCCTCTTCCCTACAGTCTTGGAAAGCGGGGTGTGCTGTTGAAGAAGGCATACCCGTAAGTCTGGTTCCGCCCACGCAATCAACATGAACCGTGCCCTTTAGCAATATACGTTTTACTTCTGCTGAGAGTGTGGTCCAATAGGTGACCTTGCCCCTTTGTACATATTAAAGCACCTTTTTTACTTACCTTTTTGAAAGTAACATCCCTTGTTTGTGGGAGGCAGCGTGTCTGGCTTCTCTGCACTACTAACGGCCTATCCTTGGTTTTCAGCTTCTCCTTGCTATTCTGAGCTCTACTTGGTCTTGCACCCTAAGTTGGCATCATTGGAAATCATTACATTGGCACTTTTCCGAAAAAAAAACCCGCAGTCCGTGCGAACGCCGCTACCGTGATCTACGCTCTTCGTTTAGTTTTCCAAGTTAGGGGTCCTTTTAATTGTCATGTTGAACGTGTCTGGCTCTGCCTGCCTTCTCACTCGCCTATGCGCTTTCTCACCATTTCGTAGCCTGCTTCTCTTTTGGCCTGTGTCTCTTCGCCACATTCTCGCGCACCGCTCAAAGCCAATGGGGATCTTACTGGGCGCAGATCGGCGACGGGGAGGGGGCATTTTGCTTCCCATCGATGTGTCGACCATCTAGATAGCCTTTTCTTGAGTTGACACGTTTTACCATGGTGGCTAGACGAGCTTGCTCCAGCTTCACAAGAGTTCACAAGTTTCACCAGAGTGAGACTTGTAAACCGGAAGTAGTGAAGCAGTGAAAGTGCAAAATGCCCCTCCCGTCGCCGAACTGCGCCATCTTACTGAAGGGTTTGAAACGACTTGCCTTCTTTTTTTCGCTCTGGTGAACTCAACTAACTAATACACAACTAATCACAATCAAATCACTTGCCACACCCTTCCCTTATCTAAATCCCACCGCTCACAACTTGCAATGTCGAACTGTGTCCCCCCCCCCCCCCCCGATATCGTAGCTTCATGGTCTTCCAGTGCAGCACTTCAGTTAAACCACCTTTGTCACCTATGCTTCTTTTGCTCGGGTTCACGGGTCCATAGGGAGAAACTTGACGCAGCGACTGCAGAAAGTTCTATACAGTAACCTCACCTGGCGCGGTGGTTGTGGCTGTGTTGGAGGTTTCCTACTTCTATTATCCTGCATTGCATTCAACAGCCAGTGCGAAGATCCTCTGAAAGTTATCGTGTTTCTCTTTGCCTTGATGTTTTCCATTCACCGTAGCAAGCATGCCCTCGTACGTAATCCAGGACTATGAAGCACTCTTGATGTCAACTCGCCCGCTCGCGGAAAATCTATGACCACTTTGATAAGGCTGCATTCATATCGTTCATAAATGCTGGTCCGATCACATTCAGGGCAGTACTTATTTCGGACTTTGCAACTGTCCGTTGATTAGCGCAGTCAGTCGCAGTCGCACGAAGGAGTCGCTCGAATCGCGAAGTATAAGCGCGTAATGACTCTTATTCAGTTTTACCATGTGCGCGTATATCACTTGATCAGAGGCCAAAAGCAGCATACCGCGCGCGGCATTCGCACCACGACCTAATAGATCAGCACAAAGTTGCTCCCGCAACCCGATTTCAGCTTAGCGTCGCAACTCGAATCTCCTGACCAGCAGCTAGAGACCGCCTACGAAATTTTGAGCAAATGTACACTTGAAATCCCTGAGATGAGGTAGGCGTGGCTGCGTACTTCAACTAAACGTCGTGGTGGCTATGCTTTGGAGAGATTTCATTTTGACCCAAATGTGGTCACGTCTCTGTCCAACAAAGAACAAGATGGCGGTTGTCTCAAATTGAAATATCCCACGAGTAACCAGTTCTGTGCCATGTTCGAATGCCACGCCTACCCCATCTCAGGGATAAGTGTATAGCTGTGGAAAAAACATATTAAAACCACTCTGAACTATTTCAGCAGGTATAGTGGAGTTCAGTAAAAGAAAACTCACCGTTTACTACTTAGTTACTTTGATAATGCAGACGAATTTATGCGATCAAATTATATAACCTTAAAGACAGAGAACAAGTAGAACCGAACGCCCGTGTCCGAGCAGCCGTAGAGGAACTGACCCTACGCTTATTTAGGCAGTTCCTGAGGATCTGACTGCGAAATCAGTTATTATCACTGTGATAAGCACACATAATCGAATTTGAACCAAAGGGCTGCAGATCTAATGGAGTACACTGAGCAGACGGTGGTTGAGTGAGGGTGGTGGGCGCGCCAAGCTCGCTGGGATGGGAAAGATCTACATAGTAGGGCGTTACGTTCAGCTACGGAGAGGGCATTCTGCACTTCGTTGCCTTATCTATATCCGGTTTTACCAAGTCTCACTCTGGTGAACGACCCCCCCTGGGTGGGAAAAAACCTCGTGAAAGCTGGAGCAAGCGCTCAGTTAAGCCATCATGGTAAAACCTATCAACAACCCGGAATTCAGAATCTCTAGATGGTTGCACACATCGATGGAGTAGCAAAAGTGCAGAATTGCCCACGCCCTGTTCCGAAGCTGCCCTCTGGTGAAGGATATGGTTGCGCCGGATCCCCACATCGATCAAAGAACCTCAACAAGCGGGTCTTCTAGGGAAACCGACGTTTTTCCAGAACGGTTTCGCATGCTGAGCAGGTCTGGTAATGATCAAAAACGAGTAGACACAAGCCACGAGAGGGCTAAAGAACCGCGTTTATATATTTTCCATTTTCTTATGTTCACATATGCTTGAACATTTTGTGCAAACAAAGACGTGTTCAAAAAAGCCTATAAAAGGAATCGATCCATAAGGTGCGTTCATACTTTCGTTCACGGCACGACCACTAGTTTTCCAAGCGCCCGGCAGCGCCAGCGAGTAGAAAAGTATAGATATCGATCTAGCGACCAGCAGCGTCCCGAAGTAGAGAGGTAGCACAATGCTCAGGGAAAATGAAGGTGATAGGAAGGATCAGCTGTCTGCTAACTCTCACTCTCATCCCGTACTCTCACCCTGGACTCTGGCTGGTGGCTGTGGAACGCGGAAGCGCTATCGCTAAAATCGATTATTCTAAGACCTTCCTAAGTTGCTGACGCTGCTGACGGCTTGGAACGGCTAGTGGTCGCTGGTGATCGGACAGCGCAAAGTATGAACGCAGCCTAACTTCTAAACTGCCAATAGGCCCAACATCCTCCACGCGCACCGTGAGCGCAAACTGGCAGTAGGGCTAGCCACTTAGCGACTTACTATTAGGATAGAGGAAACAGCGCTGCGAATCCGTGCGAATGGAAAGAAGTTATTGGTGGAAAAGAGCTTAAATTAAGAGTAGGCGAAAAACCGGGACATGAGAATCGCGCGCGTGAGTCCGATCCTCCGCGATCAGCACGCATCTAAATTGTTCCTTACTCGTGGGTGGGCGCATCTTGCGCCGCCCCGATAGCCGATTTTCCCCTGATCGAATACGCTCCACCTACCTTAGCGCCTAATGCGCTGAAGTTCATGGCGGCTTTGTGACCGAATGCCTCACAATTAATAGTCACGGGCTCTGGCTCCGGTAGTTGAATTTAGGATTGAACTACTAAGGCGACCGATCCTGCAGCGTTCAGAAGTAAATAGTAAGCATTGCTTCCTCCCCCCTCCCCGGTGCGATAGCAGTTTTTTAGGAAGAAATCGCAGTTTCTGCAAAACTGGGAAGTGCTAAGAGCTTGGGAAAACCAAGGATAGTGGTAAGATGAGGAAGGAGAAAGAGGGGTCGTATCAAGGTGAGGTCATTTGAAGAGGGTTGGTGTGGTGGTGACACCGCCATTTCACACATCGCGATGCTGCATCCTGGTAGTGCAGCCTTCTCCACCATTAGTAACCACCATTAGGCCCAGAATATCACAAAGTGGTGGAAAAGGTTGACCTCCATTCCACGCCCCCTCACACGCCCTGTCATTTGCAGGGATAGGGTCTGCAGGAGCAATGATACGAGTGTAAAAACTAACGATAGGACTCAGAAATCAGGTACAGCACATGATTTAAAAATACAAAACAACAAGTAACTCTTTAAGCATTTATAAACGTTGCATTGCATTTTGACTGTAAGCAGACAGGTATTTTGATTACAAGAATGTTCGTATAAGACAAATGAAGCACGGCAATTCCTGGTCGCTGCGGGATCATCAGCAGCCTGGCGTCGGATTCTTCTTCGGCGTTGGTACAAAAGGAATCGTTTTAAATTGATCGTATGTCTTCCGCTGGAATTGAATTTTGATAACTAATCGGGGTAGAAGTCAATGGGGTGAAGGTGGAGCGAGAGATGCTACCACCAGGGCACGTCGTACCCTGCGGAATACCCAGCGGGGTTGTATTTGCTCGCTTTTCTAGGAGGCAGTCGTAACTGGCTCTGGATTTTTTTCCGTGTGCGAAGAAATTTTTCCAGTTTCGCTTTCAGCGTTTTTTGCGTTTTCCGATTTACGTGTAGTACACACCCCCATTTTGCTCGACGGTAAAGTTCTAGGGGAAAAAATGAATGAGGCTGGTCGGAAAACTCAGTAAAATGGTGAGTAGGATGGGGAAAGGGGGTCGTAACTTGCAAAAATTTTGCTGTCCGATACGGGGCCCGTCCTGGCAATGGAGAGATTTTTGCTGAATACGATCCCCGAATTTCCTCTTCTGGTAGGATCCCATTCCGCAACCAACCAATAATCTAAACAAAACCTCACCGAAATTCTACCGTCGCGTTTGGCGGAGGGGGGGGCGGGGGGTAGGAGCGCTAGACACCTCCGACCAACTACAAGAAATAGCAGTTTTATGATGCGCCCGACTAGGGGCCGACTAGTGCGTCATTGCAGGGGAAAACCAAGAATCAGAAAAAAATGCCCACGCCAAATAAACCACCTCTCGGGAGGGGGGGAGAATTCCACAAAGCACGATGCACCCTAGCATGGGTCTGATTACTCAGCACTGCTACAGAATAGAGTGAGACAGTATGAAATGACAATACTTACATGGTATGAATACATCACAGTTGGTATTTCAACATCAAGTGGTTTCAACTCGTCTGGATCCACTTGGGCTACTTTCTTTTTACGACCCTTGATTGACAACGCTCTAATGGAGAGCTCTGAACATTTTCTATTGTTTTTCTGAGTACAGGTACATTTAGCACTCATTCTATGGGTTAGTGCAGGGGTAGTACAGGGGGGGGGGGCCAAAAAAAAGTCATTTTGCCTCCATGACTTTCAAGGCGCTATAAGTTACACTTTATAAATTTTTATCGGACATTTTTACTACCATATTAAAGAGCACATTAAATACTATAATGATACTCCGCCACAGCCTTCTGGAGGAGCGCCATCGAGAGATTCGGCCGCGCGAAAGTGAGTGGGTACCGGAGTTGAGCGAGATCGTTGATTTCTCGCCACTGTAGACCACCCTGTTGAGCTCCGCCCGAACTAGGTAATTGAGTGGGTCAGGTCAGGGGACATATTTCAATATTACATCTTCATCAGGTACGAAACGCCCTTCCATTCGAAGTAGGCGGGAGTTTTTCCAAAACCCTTCGATTCCATGTGGTGGCACCCAAACCTGTAGCAGCACAAGGTCTCCAAGAAGGTACGGGCGACCACATGTAGGGAGGATATTCTTCTCGAGTTACTTGATGTAACCGCCAGCGCTCACCTTCAGTCGGGGTCTACAAAGAAAATATCGGTCTTCCCATTCCAGGTACGGCCGGTCCACACCATCAACCCGCGCCTTGGTGAATGGGGTGAAGATGATGTCCTGGACCGTAGCGACGTTGCCGGAGCTGCTCGATGTTTGAGGTCTTGCAGATCAAGAGTACTGGTCTCCAGGTAGCTATCCATGGGTGATTCCATTCAAGAAGTTCCGCAGCTGTTTGGAGGCCACGTGAATTCCAAAGGCGTTCTCCACTCAGGCCGCGACTGGAGATGACTTCATATTTTGGTGTACATGAAGGTGAATGGCGGCAGCCGGCTCCTGCTTATAGAGGAAGATCTTGGGTATCTTCCGCCCTGGTACTCATATCCACTTCCTCTGTCTGGGCTGCGAAAACTTCGCTCATATGTGACTCGGCCGGAATGACTTTTTTTGCCCCCCCCCTGTATAGTGACAAGTGCCCTTCAGGGCGGCAGTGATGGAGTCCCATCCAGGATTGGTCCCCCCGCGCCCAAGTCAACCGATTTCCTCTTCTTCCGGGGACGATGAACTAGCACCGGATTCATCTAGAAGGTTAAGAACACTGACTTGTACGTCGGCAGCCTTTGTCACTGTCTCTGTCTTTGTTACTGGTGCGCCTTATCCCCCTTACCAACGAAAGAAACGAGCGGGTCACCATGGAGAAGCTCAGCTTCTAAGCTTGACACGCGCTCTACGGCCAGCGGAATATGTTGCTGCTTTGAAGATGCTGGCCTGGCTATTGCAGCCGCGCCGGGAAGAATTCCACAAATTTGTGTGCTGCGGATGCTGTTGGCGTTTCAAGAGGGGAGTGGGGAGGGGGGGGGGGGGGGGAGGGGGATCGCGCGTGCGCGATGCGAGCCCATTTTGCACCGACTGCTGTCTTTTGCCCGTTTTCAAAAAATGGCTGAGAACGGTATGGCACTGCCCGAACCTACATCGCCGCCTCATCTGTTCTCTCCGCCGATTTCTAACACGCTCCACAGCATCGATTCCTTCGATTTCCTTCACTTTTCCAGTAGAAATGGTAGAGAGTAAATGTATTCAACGGGTATGAGGCCCAACGGAAACTGTTGGCGTAGGGAGGAGGTGTATTAACCAAAAGGACTCACTGCAATGAGACCAGTTAACTCTCGTGAGCCTGCCAGCTGGTACAGTAAGCCACTTCGATTGCAGACTGTTTGACAGGTCTCTTCACAGGTGGTCGCGCACTGCCTCAGTTTCTGATCCGATGCCCCGCACCCGAGCCGAACTGAGCCGGCATACTGTTAGACAGCAAACAACTGCGTTGTGCCTTGTGTATCTAGCAAAAGGCTTACCGTTTCAGGTTTACCATGCTGCGTACTGTATTGCCGAAAAGGACATCTCTAGTGTAACAAGAAGCATCGCGAGCAGCTAACACAGTGGTTTCCTCCATTGGATCAAGCACGATTCTGAAAACGCAAATGATCTCTATGGAAATCTATTTTGGATGGTGAAGTATATACTTGATATGCCTTAGAATGAGCCTGCGGTTGGTGTGGACAGCATGGAGTCAGAAGTAAGCATGTCGGGACGGTCACGTACAGGGGGAGGGGGTGGAACCGAAAAGAAGATACTTTTCTTCCTCAACCTTCAAGACGATATAAGTTGCACTTCTTTGAATTCTGATTGGACGATTTCACCATCAAATTTCAAGCAGCACAGCAACACGATCATGGAACTAACCGCACAGCCTTCGGAGAAACGGCCATCGACATCTGGCAAGCGAACGTCATTTGGTGCCATGAGTACAGCGCTGACACTCCCCCAATCCTGTCACAGTCACGAATTTTTTTTCAAAGACGGTGGCCGGCGAGGACAATGAAGGCCAGGATAAATCTCCTTGGACTGTGTAAGCAGTCCAGGCGGTCACTTTCAGCTGTCGGTCCGCACGAAGACTGGGTCCTATACCGTCAACACCGCGCGCTTGACGACCGTGGTGAACGATAATATCCTGGACGCTGTAAGCGACGTTTGGACGGAGGCCACTCGATAGACGCCTTCCAGATCAAGAGTGGGCAGGTCCCAGGAGGCTGCCCATAGGTAAGACTCTACAGACAAGAAGTTTGGCATGCATGTTTGGAGGGGAGGCAACGTGAGTTCCACTAAGTCGCTCTCCAAGTCATGCAGCGGATCATGGCTTCATATTTCGGTGTATTAGAAGGTGATGGACGATAGCCCGCTCGTACTTATCGAGGAATATCTTGGGTATCTTTCCGTTACGGTACTCGTATCCACGTCCTCTGTCTGGGCTGCGTAACTTTACTGTATTGACTCGGGGGAAAAAGCGTCCCTTTTTTTGGCTCCTCCCCTGGTAGCATGGCCTCTATCCTGTTAAAGGGCGTTTGCGATGACTGCGAGAAGGATTGGAATACGTCCGACATGGGAAGCACTGCTCTCCGAAACCTCCGTGCAAGCGACTGAGGAGCTCAAGAGAAAAGATGGAAGGAAGCCATAAAGAAAGTCAATGCCACGACACAAGATGTCTTGGATGGTAACAAGATATCTGTCAACCGGATGCTTCTCGCTGTGAGGGTCCAGAGGTGTTTTCTCATCGCATCTTCTGTTCGAGCATTTAGAGGAACGAAAATAATGAAGAAGGATGAGAGAAAGAATGAAGCAAAAGAAAGAAGGAAGAAGGAAAAAGGAAGGAGGAGAAAGGCTCCGCGGTTGACAGATATCCTGATACCGTCTTGGATAGAAGCAAGTGGTGATGGCTGACGAGAATAGCAGACCCTACAACGGCGCGTGACTAGGGTTAGTGAGAAGGGAATTGCTTCAGCAGGCTAGATCTATAATCCCAAATGTGCAGTCCCTGTGGCAGATTATGACAGGTACATCAACTTATTAGCTTTACTCGAATCCCCGCATAGGCACTAATTTGAGACGATTTTCAAGCACGTCAATCAGTACGGAAGCGTTCATCACCAATTCGTCATCGGTCTCATCCTGCAATACGTGATGCCTTGTTTGTTATCACTGGCGCTCTGCCGGAAACCCATTCGTGATCCTAGGCAACGCCCTTTTGTGGGCTTCAAGCACATGGTTCTGAGGGTGAAAGTGAAACTGCATGGGCAATTTTTCAGATTCACACTTCACACCTGCACTCCTTCTTCCTGAGGAAGAGTAGTTTTCGAACATGGCATGGAATGGGTTACTCGAGGGATCTTTCAGCTTGAGACAACTGCCATTCGATATTTCAGTGTTGGCATGACCACACTTGGTCGAATAAAGATTAAATAATATCGTCCCCAAAAGCCACAGCGCCTTTGACGTGATCAGCGCTGAATACGAAGTCCAGCGCCACGTCATCCCAGGAATCTCGAATGTACCTATTGCACTGATTTATCAGCTCACGACACAGTCACACTGATGTTAGTGAAGACTCTACTGCCAACATCTACTCAGGCTCATCTAAGGGCACGTGCGAAACGGAAACTAAGCTACTTCCTTGAGTCACCCCCTCTAAATAGAAAAGTATAGTAAAGAAACTAACAATCAAAATACTATATAAAAAAAAAAAAAAAAAAAATACATCTAATTTCATTGAAATCTTTATAAATTATTTCATTTTTTCAATTATTCATTCAATTATTATCAAATCAATTATTTCAAAAGGCGATAATGGCCAAAAAGGACGGCAGGATTGAAGCGTTATTGTACATTTAGCCGATAAAATTGTTTTTAGGCAGCGCTCGCCTCAAACCAAGATTCAGAATGCGAACGTACCACTTTTCCGAAATAGCAAATTTTGACCCCAGTTTTCGCGACCCTACTCCTCGAGATTTTTGGGATTCGGGCCGGATTCTACAGGAATTGCTATTTGAAGAGCAGCTTGATCCCTCATTATGAACGCCGAATATTACATTTGCCGCGAAAATAACGTCAAGAGCGTTGCGTTAACCTCGGGGAAAAAATATTAGACCCTGCGCTAACCCGTTTTATCCTTGAGCGGATACTATTGTCACTATTGGGGACAAAATTCAAGTGGATTTGGTCTTTAGAAGCATGGCGCTGGCGCCTACAGTGCACCAGGCGCTTCAGTACTGATGGCACAGACTATCCATTTCAGCTGGTAGTTGAAGAATAGCGGTAGTTCGTGCCGACTCTTCCCCCCCCCACTTCCTCCCGCCCTCGACAGCAAAATTTTGGAGATGAACTAGAAATTTTTTCGGGAAGTGTGAGAGAAACTGGAACAAGTCTAGGGGGGGGGTCGTAATTTCGGTCAAGAAATTTAATCAGAAGGCAAACGCGATGGCGTGCACTGTTACTAAATGACTGATATTCGTTTTCAGAGGGGCACACTACCCACGCTGGCGAAATTTCCAGCTAAAAGGGAATTCTGGGTCTAAACATCGAAAAGGTCGTGAAATGGCACTACTAGAGCTGATTGCTGAGGTTAATGGTTTTGTCGTTGAAACCCGAGGCTCAGAGGATGCGAGTTCCTACCCACAAGCTGCCTGGTGTTAGGGAACCTAAAAGTTCTCAAATCGTGCAAGCATACCCTTCGGCAAAAAGTGTTAGCAGACAGGGAGAGCAGTTTGTGCCCAGAGCTATATGAAACCCTTAGGGCTAAACTAGTTGAATTTCAAAAACATAAGCGTTCTCAGTGAGTGTTGCATGAATCGGTAATCACAAAGATTCGAGAAATCTCGGTGGTTATGCTATTTCATCAACGAACGCGCGCCACAAGGATCTTGAACCACTGCGCTATCAGTCGCGACGGCGCGAACAGGCACTGCGCTATATGCTACCAAATGTGACGCGTGGCGTAGCACATTCTTCAATAACCATGGTTTCTGAGGTACTGAACGGCTATAATTACACTAACGAAGTACCATTTTTTAATTGGTATGCCTGAATTCTATTTTCTGGCTTCGAACACTCATAAAAAAAATAATAATCAATGAGAGGTTATAATAATTGTACTAATGATTATACCATAGATAAACTGTCATAGAAATGCATCCTCGTAATTTTCCACCCCTGAGAAAGACATTGCTACAACTTCAACTCCCAATAAAAAGCAATCCGGCCGCCAATTCGACCTTGAGGGACATTTTGACGCCTTTGCTAGGTTTTTTTGCGAGTCCGTTCATGGTGATTAACACCATCGAGCAACCTTAGGTGAAGACGCTGTAGACTCTTGTCGAGTCTAAATGAAGCTCCGCTAGCTACAACAAATCATTTAACAGACGAAATCACTAGGTCTTCACAAGAATGTTGACACCGTATACGATTAGAAGCAATGCGATGTCCCCTCCAAGATCAACGCGCCCACAGCAATTCTATGCATTTTGCGAAAATCATAGACCCTTCCTCAGCTGTACCTTCTCACTCTACTCACGACCACAGGTACGACACCAATCGCTTCCATAGCTTGCGAGAATCTTGGCATTCAGGCTAATTTATTCCCAGAGATCTTTAGATGTGGGCATACCCTTGCTGAGAAGCGGCCCCCACGCCACGCAAGAAGTGGATCAAAAGTTCATCACGGTGTTAGCAGAGGGAGTGGTGCGCCTCTAACATGGCAGGGAACAGGCAGGAGGATCCATCAGAAGGTCGTATTTCATTGCGGGGATAGAGCGGAGGTTCTGGCTCATGGTTTCAAAAGGACTTTTTTCCGAGCGCGTGGTGGAACGTTTACGGTTGTTTTTTCCCGTTTCAGGAGGCGTTATTGCTTTTCCGCCTGACGATCAGTTTCTCAGAGGAAATTGGTAAAATCTCTGGGAGTTCGGGAACCCGTGCTCAACGAGAGTTTCCAAGAAAAAAGAAAAAAAGTGGTGAAAGTTTTGGGGGTTTGGTAGGGAGTTTGGAAGAGTCTACTGAGATGGAAGGTAGAGTGTGAGTGGGGATCGTACTTAGAAAGGGAGACTGCGCTGGGTGGAGAGGAGGTGCGTAATTACAGCCGACATCCATCCTGATGCTGTATCCTATCACCTGGTAGAGGGCAGAGCAGATGTTGATACTTGTTGCGGTTCATAACTAATGCCACTATCACACATTAATCTGCTGCTGTTTTTCATTCCATGAGGACAAAGTGATTGAATGTGGATCCCAAAAACAGGTCAAATTGTGGTGGTTGTTTAACTGTAGCCAAATATTCCATCTCTTCGATGCTTACTGGCCCTGTAGCTCACACCTCAGAGACAGTAATCAATGAAACGGAACTCTGAATATTCAGCAAAACGGCGAGACAGTAATCATGAAACGGAACACTGAATATTCAGCAAAACCCACCGGCGGAAGATTTGTGAACCAAAATGGCTGGCCACCGACTATCAGCATGCCGTCGTTGTCCTTATTACCTCTGACCACGGGCATACCAGATCCTGGCAGAATGGAGCTTGTTGGTCGAACACCCAATTCGATCGACTTTTCAGCACCAACGACGTC